ACATTTCCCTTTTGATCTCCAAGAGATTGTAGAAAAGCTTTTATACAATTGATTTTAGCTGTTTAATTTCATTTCTTTAAAAAACTAAACTTTATATTATTATTTATCTCATAATTTGCTATTATGATATAAGTCAATTTCATCAAACATTATGTATCATCGAGAATAAATGGTATGGGAGTTTTTAAGGAAATCTGATGTTGAACAACAGACAACATCACCAAAATAAATCTGCGTAATGATTCAAAAGACATTACAAAAGCTACGTAGGAACAGCAATTGTTATAAATTGTTTGTCAAACGTGTCAGTTCATGGTTTTATTGACTAATTTATTGTACAAGTGGAATATATACAGGCACAAGGCTAACAGCTCCTACGCGAAGCGACCATCGTAAATCTAGGACTTGTCTAGACAGTATTCAACGAGTGAAGTCAGATAACCGTATTAGCCGAAAACGATCCGTGGGTGCAACGGCCAAGACACTAATCGCGAATTATGAAATCGTGAAGCTTTAAATGGTTATTATGTGACTGACCTACGACATAATCGCGAACATAATAGCTTAAGTTTAAAAATTACATGTGATTCATATATATCTTATAACGTCATGTCCCATATTCAATTATGTAATTAGGAACCTATTCAATTAACCTAACCAAATGACTCTAAACCACTGTCAAAGTTATATCTCAGAAAGCAGTCTATGAATTAAAATATATAAAATGCTTCTTCCTGCTTCATAAGACTTCCAGAAATGACAGCACATGCTTAGAACAGATCAAAATCGTGAAGGAAGTAATTTAATGTGTCACTAATGAAATTCATCGGTAAGTTATTTTATCAGCACGTAGATTCGGAAGCAGATGTCAAACATGCTTCTTTTATAAAATTCGTTTGTTATTTTATCAATGTTCTGATTAGGAAGTGATTCCAGATGTAACAGGTGTAACATTCAAACTCTGACTTTACTGAGAAACTTTAGAATTCAAAAACTTATGAGTTTGATAATTTGTTGATCTTTTACTATTTAACATTGATCACCACGAAAAACATTACAAATCTTACAGTTAAACATGATTTGCAATAGATCGTGTTTCAATACCAACCATACGATCATCACCAAATCTAATTATATTATCTGTGACAGCTGTCATGGTAACGATACTATCACAATCGTTTTTGAAATCAACCATGAGATGGTGCGCTCGATTCGAAGCATTGCCTAACATACCAGCCGAATGCATTCGAGGCAAATAGCGCGAATCAAAATCACACGTAATTGGACAAGACAACGAAACCAAATCACTGTCACGTTTAGTAAACCATCGTTCAGAGCTTAACCAGGTAATGAAGGACCCTGTTTACGTATGGCAGTACAAATGCAACTTTATTTTGTGACACTATAGTTTAAATTACATTGATGATTTACCATTGTATTGATTGATATCAACTGTATTGGTACACTTCTAAGTTATGTTCTTCTACACCCTTAAACGCCCTCGTCATGATGTATTCCTATTAGTCATTAGTAGCCCCTAAGTTACATCTCTCTAGAAACAAAATAGGCAATATAATATCATGTCTTATAATTCTTATATCATGTCTACTACATTACTGATAGTCATCTAAAGGCACATTTTTCTTCGCAGCTTTCCGATGCAGATTACACATTAGAACTAGTTTCCTGATAAAATCATGATACGCATTTCCTTTGTATATAATGTCACTGAATCGCATTTATCACCAATAGCTATATCATTAATGTTTTAATTAAATACAAATGGTCGATACACTGACGCTTCTATCCGTTTCATAGTCCAATCAGATCATAGTGGAACCAGTTCATTAAAACTAGTTGTTCGTGTTACCAATTAGCGTCAATAGAAGTTTATCAGGTGAGAATTTAATGTGATTTGAGAATTTACTACGGCTTTCGATGTGGTGGTCCCAAATTATTATTCTGTTTCAAACAGATTCGTAGTGAATATTTAAATTTATAATCAGGTACTGAATTAACAGGAGTAAAAGGTCGCGTGAGCCTCACCTCTGATGGAAATGCCGTGTACGACAGTGTTAATGTAAGTAAAGTGACAGTACACAGCAACCGTATAAACTAATTAATGAAACCCACATCAGAACTTTATTCGCATGACTTTGTAAGTCTCGTAATATATAATCATACCTGTTTCTCCCTGAAGGCAGAAAATTAGACAATATATAAATCCTTATAGATATATAGATCCTCCAGAGTCTAGCATAGATATTATTATTTTGTCATGAAAGAGGACTAAAGTTCTGAAATTCAGTGTACTGAATTTCTGGAACAGAAGAACCTAATGACACTTTTACTACTCACTGGAAATAAACCCTTATTGCCTTATTATACTCACTAAATCGACAACGAAACTCAATTACAACCACTGCATATAATATAACTATAGAAAACTACATTTTATCAGACCATCTGCACGTGACTAAGTCTCAAAGAATGTTCAATGTTTTGCTTTCACGGCAAATAAAATATACTATGTAATTGGAATTCGTACAGATAACGATATGTACGGAAATAATAGTGCGTTAGTAATAAAATGATTCAATTCTAATAAACTTTATTGTTCGTGGGTTGAGGTTAACATTGCGTCAATCAAACCGCAGTTACAGTGGGTCATATAATGAATTACTTTGCCAGTAACTAGTTCTTGTTGATATTGATAAAAATAATGTAATAAATGACTTATACTTTTTAGTTACTATTAAGTCATTTAAATTGACTCTGTTGCAATGAAAGAGAGACCAAAAGTCATTTAAAAGGTTTGAAAAAAAAAGTCTAGCGAAGTTAAGTAGTGTTAACTAAAGAATAACTTTGTGTCTACACAGGGCCAAGATGCATTGAGTTATTCATGCACAATTGAGTTTGTTTTAAATTGATTGACGTCTTGTTTGTCTGTATCTGATATGCATGAGAGTTAAAAATCTGCCTTTTTATTCTATCATCTAAAGGGATTTTATCACAACTGAAACCAGAACATCATATCTATTGTTACTCGTGAGTATCTTTAAGAGAATTCTGTCTTTAATGTAGCCTTTTGAAACGGCATTTCTAGGTTTTCTTCCTCTAACTTTCGATCTCAATAGACGCTAAGTGAAGCATATCTAACATGTATAGTTTCACTGTGAATAATGACACTAGAGAATAGTCCCGCTACACACTTGTACAGCTACTAGTTAACACCATTAAAAACATTTTATGTGGTCAATTAAATAATTTCGAAGAACCCACAAGAAGTATGTAATTTTCACTAAAAGCACATTTCTCCACGTTTCACTCATTGCCTTGTTAATTGTAATTATTTCGTGGATTTAGGTTTAACGGGATTTATCTACCAAAAGAACTTTAGATCTGAATTCTCCCTTACTTAATTATTCCGAAGTATTTATCTGTTTTCCATGCCTTAGGATTTCTTTCTGGTTTAGTATTGTAATTAATTAGGTACTGGCTAACTCTAATTATATATTTTAATTTTGGTTTAGGTATTGTTAGACAAAAATTAACTAAATGAACGTCACTAGCTTAATCCGTGTCATCTACAGCACTAGCTGTCATGTTGACGATCTCATCTGTCAAATGTGACAGATTAGTTAAGTTTCCCGCGCAAATAGTTATAACGTCTATTCGGGTTGGATGTTTGACCAAGTATTATGCTGTTTCTTTTAAAACGCTGGTTTAGAATAAACCTTTTTAATATTGAGGTATTGATTTTTACTAAATAGTAGATATTTATCAACTCAAACACTTACCTACTCTGAAAAACACTCACACAATCCTATCCCAAATATACTTTAAAAACATTCCTCCCAAACAACGACATATAAGAAAATATCTT